TGCATACAGTTATCTCATGACTACTGCATATGTAAATCTTCAAATATGGTACTTTATTATGTTTGCTACTTAAAATCAAGTAAGTTTACCAAGTATAAACAAAAATACAAAGGGATTTTGTGTATGGAAATAAGGTTAAATAAAACGTCAAGTAAATAAGAAGCGGTAATTTAAAATACAATACAAAAATGATGAAATGTAAAACGAGTAATAAGTTTGTCTAGAGGTCAGTCACTTGAATAGAGACCAAAGGTTCTGGATTCAGTCGCCTGTTAGATCATGGAAACGCAGTGCTATGGAGAACTCTTATGGGACGAAACAATTTTTTGGCTCTTTCTGATTTTTGATAGTTGCAAAACTAATCATTTTGTGATGAAAAATGAAAATGACTGCAAATATATGTGTGGATACATTACAGGGAATGAATAGTACTTCGATAAAAACGAGTCCTCAAATACACATTTCTAATTGTCTCGACACTTTTGAGAAACTGTTTTCTCATAGCCGTGACAGGACCTGAATCAACTGAACCTGTCTCCCTTGAAATCACTCCTGTCTTTAAAATCATTGTTAGTCATTATTGAATAAATATTACTGGGTCTTAAGTGGTTTATCTCTAAAAGAGAAAACTAGAAATGCTGCTGTATTCAACTAATAGCGATAATGAAAAGGCGATATTACGTAAATCTGTTTTATATTAGAACTATGATATAATTATTACGGGAGATCGAAGCAGAACACACGGACCTTCCTATAAATGTCATTCCATCAACGATCGAAAAAGTCGAGATGGACATCAGACAAATCAAGTGTGGAAAAGCAGCAGGACTTGAAAATATATTAGCGTAAACACTCAAGTCAGACATAGAAGTAACTGCAAGAATGCATCACGTTCAAATCAGGAAGATTTTAGAGGAAGAACAAGTGCCGATGAACTGGAGAGTAGGAAACCTCATCGAGAAATAAAGTAAGGAGATTTGAGCAAGTGTGAGAACCACAGAGGAATCACACTACTATCGGTACTAGGAAACTTTTCCAACAGAGTATTGCTGAACCAGATGAAAGATTTAACAGTCGCCCAACTTGGAGATCAAAGGGCTGGATTCGGTAATGAATGGCTGTGCACAGACCGAATCACAACATTACGGATAATAGTTGAGCAATCAACTGAATGGAACTCGTCGCTATACAACAACGTCCTTGGTTATGCGAAGGCGTTTGACAGCAAGGGTTGGAGAACCTTATAGAACATTCTTAGACAACGTAATGCGTTTATAAAGATTGTCAACATCATCCGAAATTAATATGACGGACTACAGTGTATAAGTGTGCACGGAGAACAGCTAACGGGCTCATTTCAAGTGAGGACCAGTGTCAGCAAAGCTGCTATCTCTTCCCCTTTCTCTTTCTTCCGGTGATTGAATGAATTATGGAGATTCCCATGTTGACATTTAGTAAATAAAGAAGGAATGAATCGAGTGAAGAAATTTCTTCGCAATTAGTTTTTCATCATGGCTCTACGCTAATATATATATATATATGATTTACAATAATGATATAATACTCATCGAGTGGATTTGTTACGTAACAATTACATAATGACATTTAAGTTCCATTCTGTCTCACTTGGTTGACACAGGTCATCAATTTGATTTGAATAAACCTTTTAAGGTTATCTACCATATCCCATCAAATTTGCCACATGGTGAATGAGTGCGCATTTCGCACATTGCTGAAGCCATCGCAATCCATGTTCACAAACCTAACCTTTGCATTCAAAAGAGATTTGTACAAACAATTTCACTGCCTTGACCATCGGTATAAGATTTACCTCAACGAAACTATTTTTCATACTTCCATTTGGTTTATTTTTTTTAATTTTTGTAATTTTGCTTTTGTTGTTTTTAAACATTATAATTTCACAATATTCATCTCTTGATTCTTACGTAACTACTATTCTATTGGCCATCCATTAAAAAATTCGGTTCCTTCTCTTTTTCATATATTACGCAACGTAGCAACTTCTTGATTTAATAATTACTTTGACTATTAACAATCCTCTTTCTTTCAATACTTTAATGTTAATTTGAATGTCATTATGTAATTGTTACGTAACATATCCACTCGATGAGTATTATTTCTTTGTTGTAAATCATACATACATAAAATCATGAAGACTGAAATCTGAGGGGAAACACGGAATAAAACGGACAGGTTGTATGTTAGCAGACAACTCAGACTTCACAGATAACCTAGCTTTTTTATCCAACACACACGAACAAATGCAGTTGAAGGTAACTAGCCTGTGAAGCAATAGGCCTCAACATGCACAAAGGTAGAACCAATATCCTTAAATACAACATGTAGAAAAACCCAATCACACTTTATGGACAAGTTCTGAAAGAGGTGGGAACTTTCACTTACATGGGCTGCATGATCGATGACCGATGAAGATCTGATACAAATGAAGAACATACGGAACTCAAAAAACTGTCTATAAGCCAATATCAAAGTCACAGTCTTAAATACGATTGTCAAGACAGTTCTACCATACGGAGCTCAGACGCGGAGAACTGCCACAACCATAATCGAAATGGTACAAGCATTTATGAACAATTGTCTACAGAAGATACTGAATATCTGTTGACCGTATATCATCAGCAACAGCGTTAATTTTCGCATCATATTATTTTGCGACTAAAACGGTTAGAGAATGCAATATTTTTTCCTCAGAAGACGTTTCTTAATAAATTAATAATGCATTGGTAATTCGTTAAAAAAACCCATTTATAGTTGAACCCTTTCTTATTCTTAGCATAAAAGAATGTTTCAATCAAGCAAATAATAAATGATCTGAGATCTTTGTCTTATAGCTACCATTCAACTGGTGTTTCAAAGACAGTAAATTAATTTATTTATTCAGCAAATTGTATCATTTCTTTCCCGAATCCACAATACGTTTTGTCACTCACACGTTTATTCATTACTGAATATCTTCCTAGAAATTACCATTATTCAACTGATCATAATTACGTAGCTTGTGTTGAATCTGTGTTTGTTAGTGAATTTCTGAAAAGGTTTGCATAAAAGGATGTCTGGTGCCACTATGTTTTAAAATACTATAAAATGCATTTGGCACAAATCAAGACAACACGTAATGCTTTCAGCTATACCACATGGCTAATGTTATGTCTGTGTTGTACGTTGAACGATTTCACGCGCCTAAATCGCCATTCACGATAGCCGGTAATGATTTTTCCATCTCGCATATGATGTTTCTGACTAGAGTCTACAATTCTTACACACCCAGCCGTGAGCCCGAAGTGAAGTTTTTAGACAGTCTTTTATTAGCATTATGTATCTACCGCCCAGCCAGCCAACACCTTTCTCAAACACTCAGCTTATATCCAACACTTATCAGACCACAAACCACACTGATCAATAAATCGTACTTTGAACACAATCAATCAATAAGTAGCAGAGAGCGATGCAAATAGTGCATAGTTAATTATAAATAGTTAAGAAGTAGTAAAACGCAAAACAACAGTTAATACGTCTACTGGAAAATTACAATAAGAATAATGCAAAAATACTATAATACAGTTATCTAGTAGTTTGCAGTGAGATTATATATCATAATAATAACCCGTAAGATATTTTCAAAGGTTTTTACTTTTCCAACGTTCCTTGTTTTAGAACAGCTACTATCGATAAAGTATGTTAAAGAGAAGCTGGGAATTTAATATTTTGCCATCATCAAACGCCTTAGCAAGCGTCTTTCTTTGTAGGTTGAAAATGGTTAGAATTAATCAATACGCAACCCTTTCCTAATAGGCCTAGGCCATAGTAACCATGTAATGGAATTGAAAACAGTATTGTACGCCTAAATGTGTCACTGCATTGTAATTTTGAAAACTTTTCTGACTCACAGACTAAATGGTTTAGGCCATAAATGTAACTTTACTGCACATTTGTTTCACTTGCTTAATTTTTATTAATGTGAAAATTATTAAACATTGTTTTGCAACGAAAACTAGGCAATATTGCTGAATTTTGCTGCAGTAATCGTCAATAGAAAGGTTTACATAATATCTGTCCATATATGAGGTGTAATCGTTGAAATATCCGGTGGGTTTTAGCATTTTTGACTTAAACCTAATCATCAAAACTAGTTACAATGAAAATCAAGAAATATCTAACTTATAAGTTCGTTTTCGAATACAAATTCAGCTTATTTTTTCAAAGTGTTTATTTCAGTGATGTTTTGCGTTAAACGTATTTTGATTAAAGAATTCTTAGTCTTCTTTTTCTTTCATTAAATATCCATAACTGCGTAGTAAATGCTTCATAGGTTCAATAGTTATTAGCCATCATTCCAACTTTCTTTCAACAATGTGAGTCATTATAATGTCATCATATCTATATATCTAAATCGAATGTTCTATCGAGGATATTTTTGTACCATTCAATTACTTCGCACATATTCATTTTATTTATAATCGGCAAATAATTCTTTTTTATGATAACCTATGAATGTTAGTGTTCTTTCTTCATCCCAATATTTCTTAACAAACAAAGTAATCACTTCTTGAATAACTCTTTGAGTCAAACACTGTTGGATGCCAACTCAGTGGTCTAGATGTTAAGTGTTCGTGCACGAGACTGATAGGTTCTGAGTTCAAATCTCGCGAGGCCTGATCGTGAATTCTCACTGCTAAAGATTCTTATGCTAAGACAAAGCGGTCATTCAGCGGTTCCAGGTTTTTCATAGTGGTCTAGATTCAAATAACTAAAACAAGTGTCAAGATACAGCGTTATTCTCCCAAATATTCTCTATCGTTTGGTGTGTATGTTTCTTATCAGTTCTATCTGGAACAACATATCATTTCTCAAGTGTTATAAATTGTACATACACCAATCACTGAAATATAATAATTACCATCAAAATAAGTTTTAATATGTGAAATAAATAGCCAAGAAATAAAAACACTCAATATATTAAAACAATAATGATATATTCCTTTTCTTTTCAATTACCAACATAATATAATGCAATCAATGAAGACAAATATACGAAAAGTCAAGTACATTGAATAGATCCATAAATTTGTATTGTTCAATATAATTATCTTCATAAGTTCTTTTATAAATTATTCTTTTATCCAGATTTAAATAGAAGGAATGCTCGATCATCCAAATAGAAATATATAAAATTATGTGTTTCATGTGTTACATAACTTTATTATGTAATGATGAATAAATAAAAGGAAAACAGAAATAGAGAGAAAAAATGTATATTTAATTATTGATATAAAATTATTGAAAATTGAAAGAAATAGTTCCTAATATATCGATTTATAAACCTGATTTAAATTAAAGCAGGTAAATATCTTATCGATTTATCATACATTCGGATTTGTAAATGATTTCAATTTAATTCAATTGATGAAATCATAGATACAAAGAAGTTGAACCAAAACGATTATGTATAGTTTAGTTTGATTGATAGTTTTTGAATAGTACATTTTAAGAATTTGTATTATGGAAATTACAAGTTGTATAAACAAAGATGAATGGTGTTTTATAGTGGAATCAAAAAAATGTGGGTTTCATCCTAATTTGTACTCGTCAGCTAGATGTACCCAAAGTTGATTTACACTCTGGGACTTGAACCCCGGTACTGTTCACTTTAAACACTATCATATTATCCACTTAATTACTAACACTTAATAACCACTTACTTGTACAAATAAATAATACAAGATGGAAAATACAGTTTAATGTTCAATATTATCAATGAAGTTTACATTTTGAATTGTAGAATTATAACATTTTATGCATGTACATGTATAGACCTATACATAAATGTCTTGTAATTTCTTAATCTATTAAAAGTGTTGAATTGATATTATTTAACAAATGATACCTTGGTAATCATGATACATATATGAAATATGATTTATTCATTCATTAATAATTAAACTTACCTTCCAAAATTTCGTCCAACAATACAATGCCATGTAGGATTATATTTACGATCAAATTCTTTTTTAATATTAGCAGCTATATCTTTTTCTAAATCATGTTTATCTAATGCACCAGCAGCTATATGTATTGCATCCTCTTGCATTTCATTACTCATATCAGCATTTTTAATTACAGCTTTACGTTCACTCATATTGTAATAATAATAATAATTTTAATTGAATTCAAATACAATTATTATTATTATTATTATATAATTTAGAGAAATTTGTACAATTTTTATAGTATTTATTTTATATTGTGTTAAATTAGGGTATTCATAATTTCTTATTTCATTTTAGTAGCATAGCTTCAAATGAATAAGCTATTATGATTTAATGAATTAAATTGTTCATATACATGTATATATATTTATATATATACATATCTAATATGATATACACAACATTCAATTGTGATTAGCTTAGAGTTAAATAATTTATTTAGGATAGTGATAAGATTGATTAATTAGTTAAATGAACTATTAGACAATATCAATGAATTATTTTATTAAATTACAAATATGTTCATTTGTAAACATGTGGAAAAGTCTATTTAAATAATGATGATGATGATAATGATAATCATTCAGTCAGTCAGTAACAACGTAGAACTTCGTACGTACGTACAACAGTTCGAGTTGCCATACTAGATGAGCATAGAAATGCAGTTGTCGATTCAAATCCCGTAGTGGTAGAGGTAGTAAGAGTATAAGCAGTAATCGGAAAGATTAGGGGTTGAAGGTGTTATTTATAAAGTATAATTTAGTGAAATAAATTTGGGAAGAGAAAAAAGAGACAAGGAGGAATCAGGAGATTAGAATTTGGGAGAACACAAAGGGTGGATCTGTAATGGTTGAATATATATATATATATATATATATATATATATATATATTGGTGAGACTGATCTGATACAGCGGGCACATTATTAACACTTCAGTGAATGTGTATTATTTTTGTAACAATGCATATCTGTTTCTTATGACAGAGAGGTAAGATTCATTACTACTGAGCGATTTGAAACGCAAGGGCATCTTCAAAAAGAACATTTTCACTAGCCCTTTTCAAATAAAACTTGATGATGTAAATATGTTCTATAGTCTATCACATTAAGAATGTTATAACTTCAAGTTTCATTGTATTGAATTGGATCAGTCAATGAAAAACAGTTTATTGAATATCTTAAAGAAACAGGTTAGATTTACTTTAAGACTCAGCTTCTATAATAGCATGAAGTCTTTGATAAATGAACTTATGGAAACGGATTGTAAAGCACTGTTAAACAGGTTTCGAAGCTTATACCTGGTGAAAACACTACTCAGAATTAAGGTGGAGTATTCTAGGATCACAAACGTTATTCTCATAAAAGATGTGAGTATACAAGTGAAAAGTCGTTGAGAACTTGTTGAAATTTGTTCTGCGAAAGACATATAGTAGTGATATCTGAGTCCACTGAATGAAAATTAGATAGGACCTTACCATTCATATCGTGTTTATCTGCATTTAGCAGTACTAACTTACAAAACCCGTTTTGAGCTTCATAAATAGTCTTTATCATGTCTCATGTAGATACAGTTTGTAAATCGTTTAGTTCATGAACTGATTATTAGTAAACTACTTTAAGATCACTTGTTTGTCAGAGCTGGAACAGTTGTAGATTTTGCCTAGTTAAGCTTGATAAATTAAATTAAAAGGGTTAATTCACGGTCTTCCTAGTTTAGTGTAATCATTTAGATCCAAGCCCACCTACTTCAGGACTCCTTGAAATCTAAATGGAGGTTGTTGATTCAGTAATTTGAAGATAAGTGAAAGAAATAGAACGTATGGTGCTGTTAGTCATATGTGTGACTTAACAGAAGAAGTGTTCATTTGATCCCTAAAGTACTACTGAAAACGTTAGAGTGGGTTTTAAATTTAAAGATCTAATTGATTTATTTCAAATTCATATGATTAAATGTCATAAGTTAATTTGCTTTCTTCGGCATTACAATTTGCCTTCTTTTAAATAAAGTAACAAAAATGGACTTGAGTTTCTTCATATATGTGTGTCACTATCTCAATTCAATTATAAACTTTGTTTCTTTAATGTTCAGTAATAACTCGTCTATGTTCAAATATGTAATCTGCATTTCAATAAGCTTCTTCTTTTTCAATAAGACTTCAAACGGTGACCTTCATTCAAAACTATAAATGTTAAATTTAATGCTATGGTATAAAGTCTAAAATAATGCTAACTAGCAAATTAGGTAAAATCTAGATGTTTATATGAAAGGCAGCTATTGTAGAGGTTTCGAATGACTGGTGGATCATTATTTTTAACTTAATGGACCTATTATAATAACATATTTATTCTTATATGGATTTGGTTTTCAAGCGTAATATTAGTATGAAATTTCACTGAAATATACAATCTGTAATTGTTTGCATAATTCCGTTGCTAATATTTTAATTCAATTACAACCAGTATTAGTTTATATATTTGCACTCTGTGGCTCTACACAAATATATATGAGATTTGTAGCTATGGAATAATACTTGTCAAGTAGTTGGGTTACGTAATAATAACATGATATTGCATTGTTTACATAATAAGACTGAGTAATTGAGAGAATCAGGTCTATAATAATGAAAGTAATTATTCAGAAAATCAAAAAGTTGTTATACCGGATAATGCTTTAAGACAACCAACAAAATATTATCATGAAAGGCTAGTAATACAGTAGTTACGTAAGAATCAATAGACGAATAATAAGACTTTGTAAAAATGTAGTTAGAAGGAATTATGATATGATCAGTATTGTTTTATAGAGATAGCTGAGTTTTCACCGAGATCATGAACTGACCAATGTTATATCACCATTGAAATCATGGAAACACTGAACTTCTGCATCGTCCTAGTAGAGTGCTCTTCAGCAATGTGTATCTACAATCCCATTTGCAGGACCCGAACCCAGGACCTTCGGTTTCCGGCGAGCGCATAATCTCAAAACCACTGAGCCATGATCCAACGGTGTTAGTGTCTTACTTCAATTAATCGACAATATTTGGCGACGATCTTCTATTGTCTGCCTGACACACGACACAGTTGAAGTCTCTCATATCTAATTAGTACAGTACCATTGAAATGAATATATTGTTCTACTGTAGGCTTTCTATGTGTTCGTCTTTTTAGTATTCCATCTACTCTGTTTGTTCGTTGGACATCAGAAACAATGTAGTAATTCTCCGTCCCTCCTCAAGTGTAAAACTAATAGATGGGTTAACGTTAATAAATATATTAAGACTAAGTGCGCATCTTAAATTCCACTACCAAACCTATTCATCACCACATGAAATCCTTGAGAATTAATTGCTCTATTGAAGTAATTCATACAATTTTCACGCATGCCAAAAGAAATTGATCAATTACAGACTTAAGCATCAATAGAAAGATCCAAACAATCAACATCTATATGAATTATATATATAGTTATGCTGATATTCACCTATTAAAATATTTCTGTTATATTCAGTGTTAACATTGATTGTGGCGTCAGCAACAATATTTTCTTTTTTGTTTTCATGGTTATGTAAACTATGCCAAATCTTAAGAACTGTATTTTACTAAATGTTTTATAATTCATTCTTATTGATTACAACTTAATATACACGTATTAGAGAAACATTCTTAACATTGTTATTATATAACTAAGTTTCATGAATGAAATTAATGATGACAAGTTATGTATAAAATTGATCATAATTTACATACAATAAAATTTAATTTCATTTCTATGTTGAAATTCTTGTTTAGTAGCTTGGCTTCATTTTATCGACATATCAATAACAATGTATGTAGTGTGTTTAAGCATTCATCTCTAAATACATTAAGTCGATATTAATAGTGGGTGGTTTAACATATATGTGTAAATATATATATGTGTGTGTATGTGTACCACTATCTTATTGTTGTTTTGCTATTTTTTTCTAAAAAAAAATGGTTGCCAGTTGTTTACCGACTTGCAAATACTTTTGACTAACTGTAAATGCAAACACCAATATACTGTATGTATTCTGTGTAAACGTTTTGTGAAATAATTCAAAATTCTTGTTTTGTTATTGTTGACACCGTAATATATCGTACAGTTAAACAAAATAGAAAGTTTTTGTATTCTTTGTTATTGAAAATTTAATTTTTAGTCTGGGTTATGCATACAGGAGGTCAGTCACGGCCCGGATAATCCAATGGTAACGTCTCTGATTGTTGAGCTGGGTGATACGGGATTATGAGTTCCGTCAAGTTTATAGGTACAACTTGCTGACGAATACCGAATAATAGCATGAAATCCAGGTCCAGGGTTTCCTGTAAACTATATGTAACAACCATATTATCTCAACATAGTGCACGCAATGTCGAGTTATCTAGACTAGTGGCTATATTGCAACTTGCTAGATAGGATTCGATCTGAATTTAGAAGGACCTGACACACATGACATTAATCACTACCCAATGATCAATCAACTGTCAAGAATAAAATAAAGAATATCTTAGTTGGCAAATATTTAAATGTTAATCATTCAAATATAAGAAAATACAATATCCATTTGTGTGTTAGATTGAAGATACCTTAGCATTTTCTAATGTATTAATTAATTTATTCGTATTGCAGTGACACATAGAAATTTACTCTGAAGTTTAAGAGATCAGTTTTAGCTGTTGTGAACTGATGAATCATAGATCAAGTTCAAAACTAACTACTTGTGGCACTTATTACATGAAATCGTCTGACAAATATAACTTGAAATTATTTCATTCTAAATCTTTGTTGAATGCAACAAAATGAAAATCTTTAGTTAACAGTAAATTTAGTGAGATTATTTATTTTAGTTGTCATGACGTATCATGCACTTATTTATTGATGTGCCAAAGAGGAATATCACACCGAATTTCTAATACATTTATTTCGTTGTAAATTTTTGTGGTCACTGAGAAAATCATAATACATGATTTTAAAATTTGCTTAGTTACATGTCTTTTTTTGTAATTAGAAGGTATGGTTAGAGATATACTTACGTATAAATCCTACTTGAGTGGAGGCTGTAACTATTTTTGAATTTAGAACCACAGTATATTATTCTGTCCCTTTTACAAAACTCAAAATAATAAGATTTAATTAACATTGTTGATATGCCATTTATGTAATACATATCCAAATAATTTAACTTCAATATTCGGGTGTATTTTCGCCATGTAACCAATATGAACAATTTGTACAGTTCATTTCCATATTATACGTTTTCATTCTACGTCATGTATTTATATTCTAATGAGTTATCTCGATTGTAGCGATATACAATTATATTGACTGTTAGGTAAAAA